AAGCCGGTTTTGTCGTGGTGTTCGGTTGTCGGTATTTTCTTTCCTCATCCACAGACTGCAGCACCCAACCCTGCCCAGTCCCCAGGTCCATCCTCCGCGCCGCGCCGATGCACCCCCCACCCGGCCCCCCACTCATCCCACCTTCTGGCCGCCACGGCTTGCAGCCGCTGCCGTGCAAACTGCTTCCAATGGTCCACAACAATACGAGCCACGCGTTTGCGGTGCCGCCGTCGCGCCCGCCGCGCCTCTTCCCCGGGGTCCCGAATCCCCGCCGCCGCCGCCGCCGCCAACGTTGGACCGTCGTCCCAGCTCCATGCCACTTCTGCGGCGGCGGCGGCGGCGGCGGCAGCCGCCGACGGCTCTCCTCGGGAATCCCCAGGGCCGCCACTGAGCGCCCTTGGCGGTGCTTTGGACTGCCGCGAGCCTAAGGCAGAGATCTGGGGTCCTCCAGGGAAGAAGTGACCTCCTGGTTTGAAGCCGTCAAGCACGTTCGCGGGCGCCGGTAAAGGCGGCGGCAGCGGCGGCGCCGCCGCCGCGGCCAACTGGGTTCTCAGAATTTCCGCTAGGAGCGCGGCGCCGCCGCCTTTGGCGATGCGTGATCCCGTGCCGGATCGATGATGGGCCGGCGAGAGCCCAGCTGCAGGGCCTGCTACTGCTCCCACTGCAGGGGCCACTACTGCTGCCGCTGCTTCTGTTGAACCAGCAGCTACCGCTATTACCGTTGTGGCTGGTGCAGCAGTGTGGGGTAGCGGATTAGAGCGTACGTAAGCGGAAGGGGCGGGGGTGATATTTGGCTGGAACCCGCGGCCTGGCCCGCGACTGGGGGCCTGTGTGGACCCCGAAGCAGGGCCCATTGCGGCAGCGGCGGCGGCGGCGGGGTGTCGATGACCTGAAAGCAAGGGCTGCCGTGTGCTTGACTGTTTGCCGGCCTCTGGCAGCGCGATGGTAGGTGTTGGTCGGTTTCCCATCTGGGTCACTGCCGCTGGTGCTGGTGCTGCCCGTGGTTGAACAGTGATGGAGATTGCGGCAGCGGCAGCTGCGTTGGGGTTTGGGGCTGGGGGGATGGGTCCGCGGGATGGCACTTGCACGACATCTACGATCGCACGCGGCGCACGCTTTGATCCAGGACCAGGACGATTTGGATCACTGCGGCGCTGCTGTTCGACCTCCATATGCAGGACGTGCCTGAGGAAAGGCAAAGGATGAGCGCGTGGTTTCAAGGTGGCGCAAGTGGCGGGATGGGCGAGAAGACGACATGAACGCAAGGGCTGGGGGCCTGACCTCCTGACCTTGCATTAACATCCCTGGGTGCGCTGACATCCAGTTGTGAACCCCAGCTTGTGTCTACGGGCAAGTACTTGACTGGAGACCGCACGGGAGAAATCGGTCGCACATGGATGGCGACCTTGGCCGCCTGGAGCAAAATCGGGCGGGCCTCATCCTTCTGTAAGGAAGCCAGTGACGGCCGCTGAGGGTCGTTGGTGGCGTTTTCGCTAGGTGCCATTGTCTCTGCGACCCATCGCTGTCATGATAACCTTGTCACGCCGGGTGGTCTCTAAAAATCACAGCGAAGCTACAACGTATCAGAATCAAAATCAACATTACTTATTATGACATGCGGCGAGCATTGCCGGTCATTCCATGACGACAGCTGACTGATCGAAAACTGGTCAACGAGCTGCCCTCAGTTTTTAGCAGAAGTCGTTTCTTCTATACGTTAGTTCTGCCACCAATGTTTGGATAACCTACGCGTTACTGATGATTCCCGACTCAAACACGTGCCGTACATGGTTTCAGTTCTGTGGAATAGTTAGGGAGAAATTGGCAAAGGATTGATAAACTTTGCCTGTAAGCCATCAATCTTTATCAAACTTTTCGTTTATCTTCTTGATTGAGCACCGGCATCCTCCTGTGACTGTGCAAAATTGTAAAAATCACTGTAAAAATCACAATCAAACGTAAAACTGACTAAATTTCGCTTCATATATAATAGCGCGCCAAGCTGGTAGCAGCTGCTTTGCATGCGATGGCAACGAGACAGCCCTGCTGCATCGGCACTTCCATTGTCAGTTAAATAACACATCTTTGCTTGGAATTCGGCAGTTCAGTACAACCCTTTCGTGACCTGCTTGCGTCCGATGGACCCAACAGCTGGAGTGGGCACACCGCCTAGCGCCAGCAAAGGACGTGGCCGGAGGCCTGGTCCCGGTAGGGGCGCCGGTGGCGGCCGAGGCGGCGCTGCACCTAAAGACTCCAATCCAGCCAGGCCCGGCGGCCCCGCCGGCGCAGCCCCCGGCGCAGCAGCAGCCCCGGCTGCTGCTACAGCCGTAGGCGCGGCTACAGGGCCTAGCGCCGTGGGCGCTGGCGCCAGCCCGGGCGGAACATCAGCGGCTGCCAGCTTAGGACCTGCGGGGGGAGTTGCGAAGAAGCGGGGAAGGATTCCTAAAGCTAAGCCTGTCGGCGAAATCGCAGGTACGGACATTCCCCGACACGGCTTGTTGACGGGCCTCCTTCCGCTCGCCGTGGGGATGCCTCGGGCCTCGAGCTGTAGATCTGCAAATCGTGAGGGTTCACTGTCCTTTTGGCTTCCTTGGGAGGTTTTTTCAGTTAGAATCGGCCAGGCTTGGCGACAGTAGGCCCTCCCTGGAGGCCCTCCCTGGAGCGGGGGAGACGAAGAGGAAGGGGAAGGCGGGCCTGACAGGGCAGGGCAAGAGTGGTGTGGAGGGTTTTTGCAATGGTGCAGGGGCAGAGGGGTGTGGGCAGAGGGGTGTGGGCAGAGGGACCTGAACGGGACGGGGGAAGGATTTGGGGCGGCTCAAGGGGAACAGTTTACGTATTTGGGCATCAAAGTCAAGGCAAGAGGGGAAAACAAACACCTGCTGAATGAGTCCGTTGAAGTTGCAAGCTGCCGGCAGGGAAGGGGGCCCTTAGGGATGGACTGGACAACGGTGTCATTTCGCATTGAGATTTTCATCTCCGTCACCGCTGTAGTCTGAGTTTTCGAGCTTTCACAGCCTCGGGGCCCGCTGCTCTCCGTTTCTCACTTTGCCCGAATGGCTTCCTCCACCGGAAGCCGTGTATGTGGCTGGATCCCCCGGCGCTCGCCCTCCCCTTCACCCGACCGACCGACCGTCCTCGACGTCTCCCGTGCATCCGTACGCCGTACTGCAGTGGCAGCGGCCGCCGACTCAGGACCCGAGGACGCCTACGTCCCCGACACGAGTATGCCGTACCGTGGCACGTTCACGAAAGACTGTGAGTCCTGTACTACAAAGGGGGTAGGACCCCTGGGGTTCAGAGCTGGACGGGGTAGGGTGGGGCGGGTTTCACGCCGTATGGTTTCAGAAGCCGTACGTATATATAAATAAGTATATAAATACATATATACATACGTGTATATATACGCGTATATATATACCGTACCGCCGTACCGTATTACATATATTATGTACGTTGCAGTACGTTGCTGTGCAAAACCTGTCGGAAGGCGGGGGGTGCCTTTTTCTCTGTTTTTATTATTATGGGGGCACTAGTTGCGGCCCTCCTCACCTTTGTGAGTTCCCTGAACAGCTTCCCGGCTTTGTGTTTACCTCCTGTACGAAAACCCTGCCGTACTCACGTGCCGTATTCACATGTAGATTTTCATTCACGTGCAGCTGACCACATCCACCTTTCATTAGATTATCTCCCCATCGCCGTGAACCCCTCTGCCGTACAGTATCGCGGCTCATGTACGGCTTTGGTGATTACGAGAACCCCATTCAGGAAACGATCAACGTAGTCGAGGTGAGCCCACAACCCGTGCTATAGTTAACAATACACACGTGCCGTGATTACATCATGGCATGATGACGCGCCCTAGCAACATTTCTGCTTCCAGACACGGCACCGGACACGACAGGGGCCGACAGGAACTTGTCCCTGCCAAGAACTGATACACATATGATGTCTGGTCTGGGTTGACACTGCTGCAATTAGCGGTTTAAGGTCCTGGGTTCGATTCCTGGTGAGACCCCCGAATTAGTCGGGAGCGCGAGATTATGGCTTGTTGCTGAGATGTGGAGTTGAGGTCACAGTTGATAGATCGAGATTTGCACGCTGGATTGGTGGTGATTGCCGAACCCTCCGTCTCTTCGGGTGTTCGGGTGAATGGATGAGGAGGGGTCCCTGAAGGCTGGATCCGCCGCCTTGGACTTACAGTTCGTATGGCGAAGTACAGTGTGGTAGTGGTGGATGGTGCTATAAGGTGATAAATGATCGTAGAACTGACAATGTGATAAAGCGGCCCAGAAGCCTCCCACTCTGTAACATTACAATTACATATGATGTGCTAATGCGTTGTACCTTGGTCTGTATGTATATATGTATATGTATACCTCTTTATGTATGTATGTGTTATGTATGTATGTACGTATGTATGACTTAGATTACACTGTGGGCTGCGAGAGCCGGGGGCCGAAACCGAAACACAGCGCACGTATACGTATGTATGTATGTATGTGTTATGCGTCGCCCGTGGTATGTTGCCCGATCAGGACATCTTGGTGGAGTACGTCCGGGAGACCTGCTGCGCCGCACTCAACGAGGCGGCCCGCATGGGGAAGCTGGACCGCGACCGGGCCTCCGGGGCGCCCAAGCTAAAGGTCCGTTGCCGCGCACAGCACCGCCCCTCCTAGCAGCGAATCAGCGTGCGGCGCCCTCGTGTGCAGAACCGCAGAACACGCTCTTGGCCGCCAAACGAGCTAACTTGGACATGTTTGAAAGGAGTCATGCTGCTGGTGG